AGTAAAAGACCTAAGGGATGTGATCCAGACAGGGCGTCAGCGCTTTTGTCCGGATCAGAGTGATACCTCAGTATCTACTCATTTCCTTCGGGGGTCTTACACCTGCCCTTATCTTCATCTTCCTAATTCCCCTGTAACCACTATCTCTCCACCTGACCGAGGTTAGGTGGGAAATTTCCTGCATTATAGTCTCCTATACTGGACCTATTAGGTTTGGTTGGTTCTATGGCTTCATAGTGACCATCTTAATGATGGTCCGGTCTAGAGGCTTCTCCGGACAGAGCTCCGATGCAGGAACCATGGTGGGTGAGTACGATCCATGTCTAATATATGTATATATAAATATATATGTGTATCTAATGAGACTGGTGGTTGTGTGTATAACCCTTCTGTTAGTTTCTTTGCAGTGTTTCCCGGGACCTGTATGTTTCTGTCCCTTTCTAGGGTAGGTTCTTGATGGGCACCCCCTCTGCTGGGTTCAGAAACCGGGTGCTCGACTTGCAGTGTGTATGCTTCAGACATGGGTCACGACGAGACGTTCCCCATAGCGACCCCTAGAGGACGCAGTGTCTCGTTCCCTACTCAGGGAACCATGGTTACATAAGTAACCTGAGACGTTTTCTCCTATAATGCCTGATGAGGTTAGAGAGCACCTGACAAGAGATCAGAGACCATTCCTTCATCCAGAATCTCTCCAGACCCTTCAGATTCACAGCTTCTCCTCTTCAGTTCACCACACTCATCTTCTATAGGGTTCAGCTCAGAGGACTGGAATGGCCAGAGCAGAAGCTTGGTTTTGTGCTCAGTGACCCATTTTTGTGTTGTTTTTAAGGTTTGTCCTATTTATATTCCTGTGAAACAGGAAGCCATGGCTGGATAATTTCATGTTCATAATCACCCTGGTATGCTCAAAATTGTAAATATGAATGGGAATATACTTCACAGATATTTTACTCATAAGAATTTCTAGGGGTGTCAACAATTGTGTCCAACGTGTATTTGAGAAAAAAATTCATTTCATAATGAGATTTTCCCCCATTTTCAATTTTTTTAGTTCAATGAAAGGTTAGATATGTGATTTTTTATTAACAATGCAGATTTATTTTCACAGCCTTCTTTGATCATATTTACCAAGGGTGCCAATAATTCTGACCACGACTGTACATAATATAACAGACAAAATGTTGTTTTTTCTTTACACACATAAAAAAAGAAACTTCTTTCCACTGTATTTAGTCATTTCTGACCATAATTTTGAAAGTCATCACTGTATATGATGATTTTCTACGGTATACTGTAGAAAAGAATCACCCCCTTTAAAATAATCACATTTTGTTGCTTTGCAGCCTGAAATGAAGACAGACACAGTTTTTGTTTTATCCAGCTGTATTTACTTATAACATCCAAGTGAAAGATATAAAAACCAAGTTAAAAAAAACAAAAACAGAATCAATGGTTGGAAAAAGGATCACCCCCACTTGTGTCAGTATTTTGTTGAACTACATTTTGCTTTAATTACAGCCTTTAATCTGTTGGGATTTGTCTCTGCTAACTTTGCAATATTTTCCCGCTCTTCTTTGCAGAACTGCACAAGTTTAGTTCAATCTGATGGTGAGTGTTTGTGGACTGCAGTCTTCAGGTTGCACAGATGTTCAGTGGGGTTTCAGTCTGGACTCTGACGAGGCCATGCAAGGACATTCAGCTTTTTCTCCTTCAGCCACTGTGTGTTCAGTTCTGCTGTGTGCTTTGGGTCATTCTCATGTTGGGAGGTAAACCTTCTTCCCATTGACAGCTTTCTGGCAGATTTTCCTCAAGAATTTGACAGTATTTTGCTTGTCCATGTTTCCTTCTATCCTGACGAGTGCTCCAGTCCTGCTGCAGAGAAACAGCCCATAACAGATTGTGGCGAGGGGGGCGTGGCTTAGCGGAGTCTGCAGCGGGAGAGAGCGGTCGGAGACGAGCGGTGAGTAAGTAGGTCAAGTGCATGATGACATTCACCTGCTTCTCATTTCAGTGATTGGCCTGGAGAGACCGTAAAAAGCCCAGTTGGAACTGAGAGAGGGAGAGAGACAGACTGAGGTCTCAGTGGGGAGAGACTGTGGCGAAGGGCACCGAGATACGCAGAAGTGCTGTATAAGTTTTGTTTTGTTTGGCAGTGCCAGAGCGCCTGCCTGTATTCGTTGTTGCTAAGGACGCTCAATAAACTACTCGAGCCTCAGTCACGCTGACTCCGACTTCTTCCTGCCCTACTAAAGAACCTCGTTACACAGATATCACCAGCTCCATGCTTTACTGCAGGAACGCTGTTATCTGGATGCTGAGCTGTATTGGGTTTCCACCAGACATATCGTTTGGTGTTGAGGCAAAATAACTCAGTATTAGTCTCATCTGCCTCAGAATCTTCAAGGTGTTTTGGCAAAGCTCAGTCTGACTGCATGTGGCCTTTCTTGAGGAGCTTTTTTCTTCAACCCTCTCATACAAGCCACATTTGTGGAGGATTTGTGATATTGTTGTCACATGCACACAATGAGCGCTCTTTGTCATTAACTCCTGCAGCTGCTTCAGAGTTGCTGTAGCTCTCGGTCACCTCTCTGACCAGTTTCCTCCGGCTCTTTCATCAGTTTGGAGAGACGTCCTGATCCAGGGAGGCTCTGTGTTTTACCAAATACCTCCCGCTTCTTAATAATAGACTTCACTGTGCTTCTAGGAATTGATAAAACCTTTGAAATGTTTTTGTCTCCATCTCCTGACTTGTGCCTGTCCACAACTTTATCCCGGAGGTCTTTTGATGGTGTCTTGCCACCCAGAGTTGTTTGTTACTTCAGTTGCTCTAGCAAGGACTGAAATGCTCCAGGAAAGCTCTTTTCATGCTGAGCTAATCAGAATGAGCCCAGCTGATCACAGGTGAAGGTCAGATGGCTTTGTGTGTCATTGAGAAGGTGATCAGCTACACCTGATTGAGTTTACAAGTCATTTTTAGGAGGAGATGATTCTTTTTCCAACTCAGTGATTCTGTTTTTTTATTTATTTTCTGACATGTTGGTGTTTTATCGTTCACTTGGATGTTATAAATACAGCTGGATAAAACAAAAACTGTGTGACGTCTTCATTTCAAGCTGCAAAGCAACAAAATGTGATTATTTTAAAGAGGGTGATTATCTTCTACACCATCACTGCTACGCCTAACAGCATATTTAATGGCCTGATATTTATTTTATTTTTTACACAAAATTGAATTAACACTACAAAAAAAATTGGATTATTTCCAAGATGATAACTATATACAATAAGACAACAATGTGAAACACAGCTGTTACTATGTCTTATGTTGCACTGATTCACTGTTTTTATTACTAGTATGAGTGTTCTCTGCAGCATTCAGTGAGTAGCAAGATTGTATTACAGTCTGAACATATTTATACTTTTGACATATTTTGCAAAATGTGCAGTAAAGAGCCTCTTTTACTTTCTCACCCTTCAACTAATTTCACCTCCGCTGTCTCTGTTTCTAATGCAGAGCAGCAGAAAAAACACACACACTGGGAACGGCTGCAGTAATGGTCTGGAAATAGCTGTCTGTGTGTGTGTGTGTGTGTGTGTGTGTGTGTGTGTGTTTGCTAACTTCCCAGAACAGAATTCTCTTCAACTGCAGAATCAAACTATTTCTTAGTATATTTTCCCTATTGCAGGTATGAAAGTGTATTCTTTGTTATTCCACCCTGTGAATACGCGGACGTTGAAGAACATGGCGAGGCACTCTGATGATGTTATCAGGAAGAGTTTCACGTCTGATTGTTTCCACATGTGTTTCTGGCTCACGGTTGTGAAAATAGCATTTTGTCAAAAGTCTCTGCCTTCCTCTCCCGTCTCTATGGCCTAGCCCTCTCTCTCAATAACTTTCCTTAGTGGAAATCTTCTAAATTTCCTGTCCGATCATGCACACAGAGCAACCTGCATGAGCAGAGCGCTAGAAACCAGGAAAAATAAAAAATTGAAACTGTATGTTAGTGAAACAGGAAGGACCTTGTCAAAAATCCCATATGAATATATACAGGGTTCTGAATTTATTGGGTGTAAATCATCTGGTGTGTCCATTAAGGGAGACATACAAAATTGGTGGGGATCTACAAAAAAAAAAACCTGCAAATGTAAAACATCCATATTCATTAGTGAAATGTAAATTAGGATTATGTGGACAATGTGCTTTACTATCATGAATCTGGAGATGTGACCTGGACATGTCGAGATGCACCAGTAAACCTCAGTCAGTTTAGCTATTAAATGAATCAAGCGTTTCACACGTGCTGAATAAATCTAAGTACAAATGCTGTATTTTGGAAATCCAGAGATATTGTTGCCCCCTTTAACAACTCCATAAACTGGATGGCTTTATGTGCCAAGCAACAAACAACAAACACCCATCCCAAAGCTGCTTATAATAAGTGGACATGGCAACACTGCGAGAGCATGCTTGAAACAGTCTTCCAAACTTAAACAAAACATGACGTCTCTGTCAGTGGTGCACCATCAAACATCGCAATTTCAGGAGTGATTTTTTTTTCCCGGAAACTAACGGAACTTAATATATAAGGTTTTTAAAAATAGTGTAAATTTTTCAGCTACATGTTACTTTTTCCAGTAAGCGGTGCTTACTTTTTTTTTTTTTCTCCAAGTAAACATATCCAGGTAAACACTGCTGTTTATAACTGCCTTCCTCTCTGTTTCATTTTATTAGTTTTATTCAGTGTAAATATATGTGTTTAATGCTAGTCCTCAATTGAGATGTTTAATTCATGCAAACACCATCATTATTGAAAAATACTGATTAAATTACAAATAGTATAATCTAAGTTATATATTTAAAAAGATATAGTTCTGTTTTCACAAACACAGCCTGACTACAGTTGAACTACTTTAATCTCTGAGTTGATTGTAGCTTGGAAAACACTTTAAAACTGTGATTATGATTATGTAAGGTCAGGTTTGCGTTAATCTGCTCAAACAGAAAGCGCCAAACCAATTTCATTGGGATATCAGCGATCAGCTTTGTTTCTCTCTTTCTCTCTCTCTGGCTCTCTCGTCCCTTGGGCAATGTGGGACTCTGGGAAACTAGCAAAGAGTATGTTTTTTTTTCTTTCACAAACCCCCCTCCTCTTTTTCCTGTTCTATCCATCACAGCATTCTCTCTGCCTCATTCACTTTTCCCACAGTGTGTGCATGTCTGTATTTCATCCTTTCTTTTTTTGGCAGAATAAATCATAGGTCATGTAGGGTCAGGGCAGACGAGACAGAGCTGCTACAGGAAACGGGGGAGGACAGAAACCAATGCAGCATGTTTAGGAAAGCAGGAAATTCTTTCTTGAAGAGAATTTGTAGGATTAGTGCGACGACAAAGAGAGAGATGAAAATTTGATTGCTCAGAGTTTGCACTTTTTATAGCTCAAGCTACATGGTGTCGCTCACAGTTACTTATCAAATATGTGTGTGTGTGTGTGTGTGTGTGTAAAAAAAATGGGAATAATATAAATAGATGAATTCATAAATGTAATGGCTCAGACTATTTAGACTTGAAGAATTTGTTCATATTTGGACTCCTGTTTGAAGATTTTGTTATTTCTATATTTTTGATTACTCCTTGCATTAACTAAATGCAGTCCCATGCTGTGCAAATATATATATATATATATATATATATATATATATATATACTGCAGTGTAAACAGTATGATACATTTCTAATGCTGCATGGTAAATACTGTCACATACTATAATCCAGCTCTATTTGGGACACATCTCATTTGTGACTGTTCTTGTGGAGAGACTGAGAAAAGGGAAAAGACGGACAGCAAAACATAATGGCATTTGAGAGTGAAGAGGTGCAAAAGAAAAGCTCTAAATCCATCAGCCTGGACTAACATAATAAACACGCTAATAACACACAAACCAAGAACAGCACCACACCGACACACACACACACACACACACACACACACACACATTTCATTATTTTATTTGGATCCACAAGACAAGCAACAAAAGTGGAATCCAAATACCTTGGGAAGCCAGTTTGCAAGATGACAGGTACACATGGCTAACATGCATTCACAAGTCCTTGTATTTATAACATTCAACACTGAAGGATAGACAAAACAGCTTTGTTTCCATATTTGCATACTCCCTATAGTGGCTGAAACTGAACAAAATTTTGCACGTTTTTTTGCTTTCTTTTTTTTGCAATCCACTCAACTGCAGACCTTTAATCACATTCTTGTGCACATGACCCAAACTTCCAACACACACACACACACACACACACACACAGCCCAGTACAGCCAAACACTGTCACTGTCCAACAAAACCCTCTCCTGGAAAATCTGAAATTTCTCCTTCACTCACATCTTTCTTGTGTCTCGCCGTCCCACACAAAAATTATTAATTGGAGATTGAAAAAAGGAAAAAACGAAATCCAGTTAAGCAGAACACACAGGGAAAGAGAATCACAAACGAAACCTTTTTAAAGACATCATGAGATTCCAAACCCATTTCACCTCTATCATTTCAATAAGTGCACCAATATGCACAATTTTTGTCTCACTCCTCGTATGTTGCCTTGGATGAGCGAGAAATGAAAAACCTGGAGTGGAGTTGGAACGTTTCAGTGCAACAGCAAACGAATGTGTGCAATACATCAGAAAGGATGTTTATTATTAAGCAAGTCAAATACAGATTTATACAATACAGATTGTGTCAAATCAGCTTCACAGAGATAAACAGGAACATAGCAGAATCATTGATGGAAACTCAACTATGGAGACAGTTCAGATTCTGCTGTAAAGCAGCTCTAAAAGACAAGAGAGTCATTATTCAGCTCAAGTCAGTTCAGATCAATGTCAGTGTGAAGTTAATCGATCAGCTATAGGCAGCAATATAGTTATTCCGCTTTTGTCAGTTCAGTGTTAATTCAGTCCAGTTCCAGTTCAGACAGATCTTAAATATTTAACATGGAAAATGACTGCTTTGAAAGAATCCCTGTGTGTCATTAGTCAGGTAAAAGTCCCTCCAGTGAGCGAATGTTACCGTGTCGGGCTGGTCAGGATGATCAGACGTGCAGATCAATGTTGTGATAGTGCTACAAAGCCAAACTGTTTACACTTTACAAACGAATCAACGTAGGATTGGCTAATTACTGTTGGATCTGTGTTTTAAGCTGGGATGTATTGTAACACTAAAAATTGGAATGCTTCCCCTTCACGTGAAAGAGTCTAGATTAAACGAATAAATGAAGAGTGAAGCTGTGAAGAAGCAACCACTAAGAAATAACCTTTAAAGGAATAACATTTTTTATTTGCATGGAGCTTCAGATTCTTCTTGTGCTCGCGGTCCCATGCCGTGTCTGCATTTCTTACTGTCTGTGTGTTAAAGCTCCACTCACGGCCGTTTGTTTCTAAGAGACATTTCATAATGCCAGTTTATGGAAAGTACCCAACACCCACCTCACTCTCTCCTACAAACACTCCTTCAGCTGCAATCTGGCTCCAGTCCTGTCCTGCCTGACAGACACGCAGCGCTGATGTGAACACAGCCAGACCAGAACCTTTACAGAAGACACACACTCACAGCACAGAGCAGCAGACACACACCCAAACCTACAGACCGGCCTGAATGCCTCACAATAACCAGCAGCTCTTCAGGCTGAAGTGTGCATTAGGAAAGGGCATTTTGGTCATTTAAGTGTTTTCCTAATTGCTCCTTGCTGTCAGTTCCCATCCCTAACATGCATCACCATACACAGATCTGTGTTTCTGCTTCCCTGGTCGTTCTGTGCTGACAGTTTCCATGTCGTTCAGTGTTTAGCAGAGACAGACCTCACACATCTATCTACTGTAAACACACTTCAGTGAGGACTGTTACACTGTTACCAGGCCAACATAAGTCCAGCATGTTCCTACGGTCTCTGTGAGAATGAGAATCGGTGTGGGCATGTGCTTACCTCCTTCACTGGTGCTGACGCTCATCCAGGCCGTCCAGCTCGAGACGCCCTGACTGCTCCGGCAGGCCATTCTGAGATCATACTGGCTGAAGGCCTCCAGATCTGAGATCAGACGGCTGGTGTCAGATGCGCTGACCGTCTGACTGGAGATGACCTGATCAGAGTCTTCACCAGACGCTTTGACCTGAAAGATATTGTATTTGAACAAAATCATTAAATGGGTTTTAGTGGTTTCTGAGCATTTCCTAGTGACATCTATAACAGGGATGAAGATCTCCTATGGGCCTCGCGGAACAGATTTTTAAACGATCAAACCCTTTCATTATTTGCAAAATTTTAAAATAGTGAAAGTCTTCTTCAATTCACACTTCAACAAATCTCACTCATCAAACAATTAGTATATTGAATGGACATCTTGTTTCTATGGAAAATTATTTTAAGAAATGAGGCAAGAAGAAGTCATGTTTGGTGTTTGGACACACAGGAAAAGACCACTGATAACTTGAGTGACATTCACTTTCTGTTCAGGACAAAGAAGAAGCGACTTCTATCACTTCCCCTTTCCCCAGGATCCTGTGCTAGAGTAAATGCAGGGACATTCAGGATAAAATAGGACTTACAAGTTTATGTGTAAACAAATATTTATGTCACATTTCTTGTTGGTAAGATACCAGGTTTACATGTGTGACATGAGAAAAAAGTCACACTTCTCACGTAAGTTATACTGAACCCAGAATATTCCTTAATACATAAACACACAAGCATTGTGCAGTCTTCCTGAGCTGATCTTTGGCACACGCTTCATAACCACATAAGAGTATTCAGGGGGATAAATATAACCTGGATATACATACATACACACATGAAGATTTCAATGGCTGCCAAACCCTTGATTAAACTTTAATAGATTAGCAAATATTTTTCATATGTCAGATGAGTTCTGTTAACATTTTCTGGTTCTTGCTTTGTTCTCTCTCTTCCTCTTTTATTATCTGTCAGTTCCTTCAGGATTGTGTTTAGTCTCAGTTTGGACCGTTGGGTTGTGTGGAGCTGAGGAACAGAGGAGGGCTGCAGGATCAGACACAAGAGGCCTGTTTTTATTAGAACCAGGCACTTTGGGGTGGTGCTCAGGCGAAGGGGATTGTGACACACACACACACTCGTCCTAACAGGGCCCCAGAACATGGGGAACTGGGCCTCAGCAGTGAGTGGAACGGGCCTCTCTCAGTGTGTGAATTGTGATACTCCACATCATGATTAAGCAGCATGTGTGTGTAGGAAAAGGGTTCTGACTCACAAAACAGACACGTCACAAGCTTGTCAAAGTCAAATGATACAAACAAACACACATATATTGAAACAATCACTCATTCTGATATTGATCTATTGAAAGATTTTTTTTTTCAGGTACCTGAACAATGCAGTGGCTGATGGGATAAATTCCTCCAAAGCCCAAGTGCCAAGACAGACGAATACTTGAATTAGTGATTTCTTCAGCTGTAATGTCATGGGGCTGGGAAGGAAGAACTAGACAAAAAGATAAAAAGTACTGTTTTTACATAAAACATTGATTGATAAAAACAGCTCTAATCTATTTGTGTTTCCACACTTTGGCTACATTCAGACTTCAGCAAAAGATCTGATTTTTTAAATCTCATATGAGATTGCACAATCCACAAGGAACCTGATCTGTTTGATTCGAGACGGTGGAGGGACAGTGAGCCGTTATTACAGTGACAGCTCTATACGAGCAGAACTTGAGTGGTCGAATCCTAAATAATTAACTGACTGTTATCTATTGTCTTCTTGCATTATCAGCACACGCTTTTCCTGTTTGACACTGTAAAGCTGCTTTGACACGATCTGTATTGTATAAAGCACTATATAAATAAAGGTGACTTGACTATGTATGTGTATATATATATATATATGTTTATGCTTATTACAGCGTCAAAGACTATAGTGCAATGAAAACAAGCATGAGCTGTAGACCCACGTGAGTCAATGTCTTGTAAACAGGGCCTTGAACACTCTCACTCACCGGTCACAACACCTGTGCCAGATGACGCCACACCTTTACGATTGTGAGCTTCACAGGAGAAAGAGCTGGTTTTATTCAAACCTGTTGAGGAGCAAAACACCATGGTTGAGAAAAACAGAACCAAAAATCCCCCAAAAACTGCAAACTTGTGTTGGGTTGTGTTTGAGTTTCAGAATCTGTTTGTGGATTTAAACATGCATTCATTTGGAGAATGAAAAAGAGCTGATTTGAAAAGAGTTACTTCTGCTTTCAGGAAAACACTGAAGACACACACACACACACTGCACATGCTGACATTCACAGAAACATGTCAAATGAAGGCTCTCTTTCTCACACACAGCATTCTTCACACTCTCAGTGAAAATAACTAATGTGTGTCATTGAGGAACACTGTGTGTCCATTGTTAAAAGGCCATAACAGATCCAAATCAAGGGTCACCAGATCAAATTCTGATGGACAAGGCCTAAGTGCTATGTGTGTGTGTGTGTGTGTGAGAGAGAGAGAGAGTTCAACACAAGCCACATTTAGTTTCATCTCATTCTATTTCCTTCCCTAAAAACACAATCTGTCTTCATCAGCATAGATTCAAAGCAAACATGCATTCATTTAAGAGTGTAAATCCATTCATTGCTCAACTAAACTTACTTTTGCTGTATAATACAACACTGAAAGAACCTCACAGCATGATACACTTCCCCAAATAATATTACTAGTGTGCCTGTGCAAAGGTTGTGGCCATGATGTATTGTGGGTGTTTGCTATGATCATTACGGTGATTTGTGTTTTTTGCTTTTGTATCTGGAAAAAGTAAACCAAAAAAAAAAGTAAAAAGTAAAATTAAATACTTTTTTTTTTTAATCAAACCCCTGACCATAAGTATGAGCAACAATAATAGTGATGCTTGCCCAAGCAAACAGCACTAAATGCTTTACAGAGTGTTTAACATTCTCCCTGTGACGGCCTGACGGCCGGTGTGTGTGTGTGTGTGTGTGTGTGTGTGTGTGTGAGTGTGCCTGTGCAAAGGTTGTGGCCATGATGTATTGTGGGTGTTTGCTATGATCATTACGGTGATTTGTGTTTTTTGCTTTTGTATCTGGAAAAAGTAAACCAAAAAAAAAAGTAAAAAGTAAAATTAAATACTTTTTTTTTTTAATCAAACCCATGACCATAAGTATGAGCAACAATAATAGTGATGCTTGCCCAAGCAAACAGCACTAAATGCTTTACAGAGTGTTTAACATTCTCCCTGTGACGGCCGGTGTGTGTGTGTGTGTGTGTGTGTGTGTGTGTGTGTGTGTGTG